TTATTAAAGGGAAAAGATCTATTTTATTTAACATAGTATTTTATGGTTTTGCCAAGAAAAATACAACATATTTAACTGTTCAGCAACAACCTGTATCTGTTTACATAAATATATAAATATGATTCTGTTAAAGCAAGCTAAATTATTGGTTATTACTTGCTAATCTATTGTACATTTCACATTTCCTTCAACACTTCCTACTCCTGTGTGCTTAACCTACAATTTAAGTTATATCATTTGATAAGATGTCAGATTAGTTGTTCACCTGCATATACAGGATTATTTCTAGTTATACTCTCTCTATATATAAATTAACTGCCACATATGAGAGAAAACATGATTATACTGTCTTTTAGTGTATGGCTTATTTCACTTAGCATAATGATATCCAGTTTTATCCATTTTGTTTCAAATGTCAGAATTTTATCTCAGGGAGGCAAGCATGGATCAACTTATGCAAACCAACAAAACTGGCCATATCACATCAACAAAATGAAGAAGAAAATATATTATCTCAAGAGATGCAAACGAATCATTTAATAAAATGCAGCATTTTTTCTTACGATGATAAAAACCTTTTAAAATGGGTAGAGAAGGAACATTTCCCAACACAATAAAGGCTATTTATGACAAGCCCTAACGCTAGCATAATATTGAATGTGGAAAAGCTGAAAACATTTCCACTAAGATCTGGAACCACACAAGGATGTCCATGGTCACCACTGTTATTCAGTATAGCTCTGGAAGTTTTAGCCAGAGCCATAAGGCAAGAAAAAGAAATTAAGAGGTACCACCTGGAAATTTTGGAAGTCAAATTGTTCCTGTTTGCAGAAGACACGATTATTTATACAAGGAAACCAAAAGATCCTACCAAGTGTCTCTTAGAACTAAATTCAGTAGTTTAGGATACAAAATCAATATATAGAAATCAAAAGCATTCTTATACAACATTTGTGCTCTGAGAAAAACCATATAAAATAATCACAATCACAATAATTTAAAAAGTTTACATTTGGAAAAAAGTTAACCAAGGATGTGAAAAATCTCTTAAATGAAAATAGCAGAACATTAATGAAAAAAAATAGAAGACATAAACTAGAAAAATCTTCTGCAATCATGGAAGAATTATTATCAAAATATCTATCCTACCCAAAGCAATTTACAGATTCAATGCAATCCCTATAAAAATTCCAGAGATTCTTCATGGAACTAGGAAAAAAAAAAAAAAAAACTAAAATTCACATGGAAACTAAAAGGGCCTCAAATAGTTAAAGCAAGATGAAATAATAAAAACAAAGTTTGAGACATGACAATGCCAGATTTTAAGACATACTATAGGGCTATTATAATTCAAAATTAATGTCAGCATAAAAATAGACATGCAGACCAATGAAACAGAATGCAAACCCTAGAAATAAATCCATGCATCTACATCCAACTAATCTTTTACAAACATGCTGAAAACATTCCCTGAATAAAGGACAGTTTTTTCAACAAAAGTTGTTGGGAAAATTGGATTTCTATGTGTACAAGTTTGAAACAAAACCCCTACCTTTCACTCTATGCAAAAATCAACTCAAAATTCATGAACAATCTAAATTTAAGACATAAAAGTATAAAATTACTTGAGGAAATTGTGAAAACACTTCAAGACACTGGACTATATGATTACATTTGTGGTAAAATACTTAAGCAATAACATGAAAAATAGACAACTGGAATTATATCAAGCTGTTTTGCACAACAAAGGAAACACCAAAGTACAGAGTAACTGCCAGACTGGGAGAAAGTATTTAAAAAGTATGCATTTGATAAAGGGTTAATATCCAGAATAAATAAATATATATATATACGCACACATATATAAAGAGAGCCCAATAAATGAACAACAAAACGAATAATCCAGTTTAGAAATAAGCTAAGAATATGAATGGGTACTTTTCAGAGGGAGAAATACAAGTAAAAAGCACAATGTGGTATCATCCACTGCAGGTACAGTGGCTATTAATGCTAGCAAGGTTTTGGAGAAAAGCATATGCTAATATGCTTTTATATTAACTGTTTTTATATTTATATATACAATATATATATTATATAATTATATATAATTTTATATTAACTGTTGGTGGACTGAAGATTAGTAAAACAATTATGAAAAACAGCATGGAAATTCCTGAAAAAACTGAACATGGATCTACCATATGACCAAGCTAACACACTTCTTGGGATATGTCCAAAGGAAGTGAAGTAAGCATATAAAAGAGATACCTATACTCCCATGCTTATAGCATCCTAGTTAATAGCAAAAATAAGGCATCAGCCTAGATGTCCATCAACTGATGATTGAATAAAGAGTGGTGTTATATATATAAAATATATACATTGCTTTTTAGAATCATATCCAGTAGTGGGGAAACATGGGGAGTAAGGAAATATGGGGACATTCTCACTTCCATAAAAAATAAAACAAGCATTTTTATTGGAAATATTAGTAAATGAAATTAAAGGAAAGAAAAAATTGGGAACTATATAGAAGTATCAATGTATTCAAAATAATTTTAGCAACATGAGAATCAACTGGAAATTTTAAAGTAATGAGGGAACTAAATAAGATAGTGTGTTAAAAATTAATATAAATATGTATCTGTCCTTAATGTGATGTTTAATGTGAATTAATGCTATAACTAGTACTCAAACAGTATTTAACACTTTATGTTTCTGTGTGGGTGCAAACTGTTGAAATCTTTACTTAATATATACTAAATTGATCTTCTGTATATAAAGATAATTTAAAATGAATCTTGAAGCAAATGGAATGGGAGAGGGATCAGGAGATGGGAGGGTTGCAGGTTGGAGGGAAGTTATGGGGGGAAAAAGCCATTGTAATCCATAAGCTGTACTTTGGAATTTTATATTTATTAAATAAAAGTTAAAAAATTAATATAAATAGTTCTGCATATAGTCGTACAGATTACTTCTAAGGGTACAGTTTGAAAACTTGTCATGGGACTACAAATCCATGTCATCTTAATTGTTAAAGTGATCACATTAAGTGTGAAAGTGAATAGGATTAAGTGTTAAAGAGATCATATAAATAACATCAACTGCCTAATAATTATAATAGAATTAAAAAGGAGGGAATGTCCAACATGAGAAGCAGTCCACACAGCTAACTAATAGAATGACAATCACTTTAAGTAACATTCTGGCCTCAGAATCAGCCCTTATGGCATTCAGATGTGACAGAAAAGCCCATGAGAGCATTTCAGGCATGGAAAGCCAAGACACTGTGGCAAAAAATATCCTACATGAAGGATCTCTGTGAGTGAGACCCCAATGGAAAGAAGGGCCCATCAAAGGAGGATGTGCTTTACTCTGAAAGAAGAAAGAACTTCCACTTTGCTTATGCCCTTGTCCAAATAATGATGAAGTTTGTGGTCACAAAAGGCTTCTATAGCCTTGGCAGCTCATGGCAAGAGCCTCAGGTGATCACTGATGTCATAAATAAAAGTGTTAAATGTTATATTAACAATAGAAGTCACTGTGCACTTACTCCCTACGTAGGACCTTGGTCCTTAATGAGTTGTACTATGAGAATTAACTGCAGAACTTATTCTCAAACAGTACTTTATATGTTGTGTGTGGGTGGGTGCAAACTGTTGAACTCTTAGTATAGAGTTTGTCTTCTCTATATAAAGTTAAATTAAAAATGAATCTAAATGAAGAATGGGATGGGAGAGGAAGTAGGAGGTGGATGAGAGTGGGATTGGGAGGATGGATATGGAGGGAAGAACCACTATGTTCCTAAAGTTGTATCCATGAAATATGCATTCCTTAAATAAAAGCTTTAAAAAAAAACAAAAAAATAATATAAAGACATCAACAACTTTTTGTAACTATATATCAAATATTAGAAGATATAAGGAATAATGTTGTCTATTTACAATAATAAAAAAGATATACATAATAAAAATGATATATATCAAATATTAGAAGATATAAGGAATAATGTTGTCTATTTACAATAAAAAAGATATATAAAAACAAAGACATGCATAAAAGTTGTATAAAGAAAAATTTTTAAGCTGATAAATGACCAAAAAGAGAGCATTGGCAAAATGAGGAGACAAATATTCTTGGTTAGAAAGATTAAACATCAAAAGTATATAATAAAACCTTAAGTAATAAATTCATAATCACATAAACTCTTTCATCTTCCTTGAGAGAATTTGCTCTACCTATATATTGTACACTATTCAAGGTAATGTATATTCAGTGCTATTTATTATATTCATTGTTGGCAAAAGACTGAAATATGAAATTTAATCAATAGTGGAGTCATTAAACTATTTTAAATGCACAAGGAAATCTTACAAAGCTGTGAAAAAAAGATAGGGCATAGTTGTTTAGAGTATGTAGAGAAGAATCCAAAGATACATTGTGAAGCACAAAACAACCTAGTACATGCCGGAGTGTATTCATATTCATTCATATTTCCTTGTAATGTGTCCCAAAAATATTAGAATAAAAATAATAAAAGAGCTATCAGGGGACTACATAGATGCATTTGAAATATTACATCACTCATTTCATACATAATTTAATAATTATTTACACACTAAGAGGCAACTTGAAAACAATGAGACATTAGAAGCTACTCAGATCTGTGACTTCCTCTCACTGTCAGCAAACTTGCTTTTCAGTAACAAATTGGAACTAAGTCTGATATTGCCCAGTTCCTCTGCAGAACAGAAACCTGCATCTTTCCCCATCTGTGAAATCATAGTTAATTATTTCGGGTTTTAATCTTGTCTTTATTATCCTTTTCCCACGATTTAACCGAATAACAATACCCAGTTCCTGAGAATCCGGTCTCTCTCATTTTCTGATCTAATTTTGATGTTTATAGGATAAAAGGATGCTTGCTGTTCTTCATAAACTTAATTATAGGGTTAAACGGGAGCAAGGAAAAAGACTGCATTCGTTCTGAAATAAATTACCTTCTCTCTGCTGGAGGAGCATTGTCCGCTGCTTGGACAGTGAGTGCATAAGTCCGCCCGACTATCAGTTCCACCCCCGGAGCGATGGTGATAAGCCCTGTTGTTTTATTGATGATGAAGTCGCCCTGAGCCCCAACCAGGATTTCATATGTGATCTGCCCATTTGACCCTTCGTCGGCGTCGACTGCAGTGAGCTGGAATTGAAAATCACAACATAAATCCCCCTGGGACTCAACATTTCACCATCGTGTCATTTTTTTTCCCCCCAACAACAACAAAAAGAGTTTGCTTTCAAAGACAAAACGCAAGTGAAGAAAGTTATCTTGGCACACAGACCCTTGTTTTCTGGAACTGAGGCTACAGTGTTCTGTTATACTGAGGCACTCACAAAAGCAAAGCTTTTTTGTTTTTTGTTTTTGTTATCTTTTCTTCAGGGAGTGCTAGGGACTAAAGTTTTTGGATCATGAAGGTTCTTTTTTATTTTAACAAGGAGGCCGAAGGAAAAACCCTAACAGGAAATCTAACAACCCTATGGGAAATTTTTTTTTTCCTCTATCTTACCTCCCATTCTGGACTCGGGCACGCATTACTACACACAAGACCTGGAGACATGAAGTGAGCAAGGTGTCCCTTCACTACTCCTGTCCTTCCATTTGCTCTCATTTTTTTCATTCATAGCATTCACCTTCCTGTCTCAGAGATGTCCCTGAGTCCTTTTTATTAACACTTGCTCTAGGAAAGAGTCTTACAATCCTGGTCACACTGGTTTAGAAACAATGTAAGGTCTAGAGGATTATCTTTCCAGAGTCAAGCACATGCTCTGATTGTAGATTATCAAGGATAACAGAGACCAAGAAATCTCTCTCAGGAAAAGGAATATGTGCAGAATCCCTGAAATTTTTCTGCATAAACATCTGTGTATGCATTCGTTATGATTTTGATGTAACTAGCATATACCAAAAGTATATACTGAGATCATTAGAAATGAAAATTATGAATCTCACAAAGTGGCATTAAAGAAATAATTTATTATGTTAAATAATGATTATGTTAAATATTTATAATAGAAATTTCATATATCAGGAAAAATAATAATTATAGTCAGAAATCTTATAATCATGTACAGAATTTCCAGTTTTAGTATACCAAAATAGATGGGTGGAGGTAAGAAAAGTAGATTTGGTTTACACATTGAAGGAAATTCATTAAATGTTTTCAGTTAAATAATGGGAACACTATAATTATAATGAACTCATCTGTAAATATGTTTCTTTCTTTACATTTTCTTATGTATTACCAATCTCCATGTTTCCATTTGTAATGTAGTTGTTATTTATAGCTCATATACTCCTTTGGGTATATGGTTAACTCCCTGGTGAACTTGGTATAAGAAAATGCAAATGTACATATTTACTTTGAAATGTGAATTCAGTTTCAGGGACACTCTATTAATTAATGACCCTTTTAGAAGTTTATGTTTAATGTCATCAAGAAATGTAAGCAAAGGTCTTTTAACAATCCACCAGGCTTAAGGGAACATGGTGTGCATATTACTACTTTTATCATATGCTGCATTAAAGTGACCGATGGGCATAGAAATAGCAGCAACAACACTAATTGAGAAGAGCTGTGAGACTGGCATTAATGAAGTCCAGAGATTGACGATGGACAGATGTGGCTGCCAGAAGGAAAGCCAGTTCATGAAATAGTTCTGGGCCTTTACATGAACATGACAAAGTCCTAAAGGCAAAGAAGAAAGAAACTATTTACAGAAATGGAATGAATGATGTATATTTATGAAGAACTATTCACGCCAGACAAAACTCTTCTATGTGTAAATAAAATAAGAAAATTAGAGGATGGGAGTAGCAGAGGAGATATCAATTCTGATTTTAGCAAATCACTTAAATAAAATGTCTCATGATCTCAATTAAAATTCAGCTCAGTTTGGATTCAATATTACCATTTTTCCTGAGCTGGTTAAAGGAATTTGATGATAAATGGCAATGTGTCAAAGTAAGACCAAGTGTTGAGGCACGTGCTTCAGGGATGCAGGTATGATGGCTGGTCTTATATAGGATTTTCATAAAAGATGTTGGAAGGGAGGATAAACTGGAGGATTATTAATTTGAAGAAGGCACTCATCTGGGAGGTGTCGTAAATATCAAGTAGTAATGCAAACAGGCAACAGAAACACAAAATTTCAGAGCCAGTCAACAACAGATAAGTTAATATGTGTGAGGAATAAACCATTAGCTCCACTTATCTGAATAGGGCTCATATTTAAGAATTTTCATGAGTGAAGGTTCAAGAATTGGCAAGTTACTGAAGTTGATTTACTCAGTGTGATTTCTAAAGCTACTAGAAAAGAGATGTTACTTTCTCCATGATTAAACTGCTGAATTTACACTAGTGTTTCTGCTGATCTTATCTACAGTAAGTTCCCCATTCTAAGATCCACACAGAACAGGATGGGATACAGGAAAATATAATTGATGACAAAGACTCCAATTATGCCTGAACAGAAATTGATCAGTGAGCTTTCCTCATCGATAACATGTGCTTTTTGTTAAAAAAAAAAAAAACCTTAATTTGAAAATGTTCCATTACAACCATAAGAATGCTTACTTCCATAGAAAAAGTGTATTATTCTTGGGGTTGTTTGGTGATTATTTGCCTAAGATTGTTGTGTTTTGAGACTGTGGTATGTAGTGTCATGCAATAATTAATATATCAAAGCATCTTTGATTTATATATTATTTATTATAATAGGCCATGAATTTTGCTATAAAATGGTAAAGTTGTTCTTGTTTAGATATAATGAACAAAAATTAAAATATATGTAAAGAAACTAGTGGGGCTGGTGCTGTGGTACAGTGGGTTAAAGTCCTGGCCTGAAGTGCCAGCATCCCATGTGGGCACGGGTTCTAGTCCTGGGTGCCTCTCTTCCTATCCAGCTTTCTGCTGTGGGATAGCAGTAGAAAATGGCCCAAGTCTTGGGCCCCTGCATCTGCGTGGGAGACCTGGAAGAAGCTCCTGGCTTTGGATCAACACAGCTCCAGCCATTGTGGCCATCTGGGGAGTGAACCAGCAGATGGAAGACCTTTCTCTGTGTAACTCTGACTTTCAAATAAAGAAATCTTTAAAAAAAAAAACTAGTAAATATGCTTTTTATAATAACTTCTAGACTTTTAAATGAGACAATTATCTAAATTTTAAAATTATACATTATTCTTAGAATTTTTCTTTAGATCTATTATTCAGATTCACTATTAGAGCCAGATATAAAATATAGAGCCTGTTAAGTAAGTTTTTTTTTAATATTTACACTGTGATATGTATTCAGATGCTGAGGTTTTTCTTTTTACAATGAAGTTAAATTTGCAAAGTGAACTCTGTGTTTAGAAAAGTATGGACAACATTACATTCTTTCCATGAGAAGAGTTTGTAGAAGTCAATCAATAGATGGCAACTGATAGTCATCAAAGTGACAATTAAATTCTGTACTTGGCATAGGGAAAAATAATTAGCTGAAGAAAATCATCATAATTTTGAGAATCTAGAGTAGTCCCAGGCAAAGTGGTAGGAGCTAAGTATAAATTAAATCTGGTAAATCAAATTGGATTCTATGTGTTTTTCAGTTTACTGTAACATTAGGGAGAGTTTTATTAATACACACAGGAACCCATAGTGATATATTGTGACAAATAGTATTAAAAAATGAACACAATGGACAAAGCAGGGTACTAGGATAGACATCTAAGTCCTTTTGACAATTGTTATATTTAAAATGAAATCTGAAAGATGAGGACACATTAAAGAACACGATGGCAGGAGCCAGGTATTTATCCTGGTCTCCCATGGGGTGCAGGGCCCAAGCACTTGGGCCATCCTCCACTGCACTCCCGGGCCACAGCAGAGAGCTGGCCTGGAAGACAGGCAACCAGGACAGAATCCGACGCCTGACTGGGACTAGAACCCGGTGTGCCGGCGCCGCAAGGCGGAGGATTAGCCTAGTGAGTCGTGGCGCCGACCTGTGTGCTGTGATTAAAACCTTTGAAAATCACTGTAAAATACAGCTAAATAATAAAGAATAAGCTTCCTTCTGATGTGCAATATGCATAGTATTTGATGCATGTTTTTTTCCTCCTTATTGTTTGCTGTCTCCTTTTGTTTTGAAGGCAGTAGAAGCTGGGAAGAATAATGTGATTTATTTCACTTGAAAAGCAGAGAGAGGGGCCAGTGCTGTGGCACAGTAGGTTAAGTAACTGCTTGCAATGCTAGCATCCCATATGGGTGCCAGTTCAAGTACCAGCCGCCCCTCTTCCATTCTGCTTATGGCATGGGAAAGGAATAGAAGATGACCCAGGTGCTTGGCCCCCTGCACCTGCGTGGGAGACCTAGAAGAAGCTCCGGACTGCTGCTTTCAGATCAATCCAGCTCCAGGTGTCGTGACCATTTGGGGAATGAACCATTGGATGTCTCTCTGTGTCTTCCTCTGTCTGTAACTCTGCCTCTAAAGTAAACAAATAATGTTTTTTTTAAAAAAAGAATGTCACATAGAGAGACACACACAGAGAATATTTCCGTCTGCTAGTTCATGTCACAAATGCCTGCAACAGAGAGAACTGGAGCAGACCAAAGCCAGGAGCCAGGAACTCACCTGGGGTTTTTCATGTAACTGGAAATGACCCAAATACTTGAGTCGTCACCTGCTGCCTTGGTTGGTGAGCATCAGGAGGACACTGGACTAGGAAGCAGGGCTGGGACTGGAACTGAGACACTTCAACATGGGATGCAGTGCCTCAAACAGCATCATAACTGCTACAACAAATGCTTGCCTTAAGTCATCTTAAAAATCATTTGTGCAGGAGATGGAGATGAACTCTTTTAATGTTTCTTATAAATTTGACTCAGTTCTTTAAGTCTCCAAAATATGAACCAAAGCATTTCACATCTGATGTAGATTACAAAATAAATTTACAGACAGAAAAGTTTTGCTCAACAGGATGAACCCTAATCAAAAGAAATGGAATGAAGTCATACTGTCCTCTGTCGTACACACAGGATCTGTCTTTACGATAGATTTCAGCTGCTATGGGAAGTGAGTTTCTGATTTACAGACACAAATTTAAAATAATCATTGATGCAAAACTTCTGGTGTAGAAACTTCATCAAAATATTTGTTGCAGTC